CAAATAAGTGGGCGATTCTGCACTTTACCGAGAATTTTTTCAAAGAAAAAGCGTCATTCATTATAGAAAATTATGTTTGAACAACCAATGAGAGCGATAACTCAGTAGCGAAATAGCGATGCAGACATTCATTCAGTTATGTTTAGCAATTTTTATATATGAATTATAATAATGATCTGAAATAGTTATTTACTCTTATGCTTCCATTCAGTCATGTTCAACCTTTTTGAGATTATTTATAATAATAAAAAAAGTATTGTATGAAATTAACCTTTCATCTAAATTAAAACATCAATCTTAGATAGTTATTTACTATTATACTTCCTTTCTTGCATTAGGGTTGCCACAATAATTTTTGGCAGCACTGGCATCAACAATAGTTTGGCGATTTTTTACGGCCCTCAAAACCGAATAGTACCATCAATTCTAATGAGAATGCACTAGCGAAGTAAAGCATTGCAATTTTGCATACTTTCTGAGTAAGCTATTTGTACGAATTGAAATAATTCTTGCATTTAAACTTGTATTCCAAATTACGATTTAACTTGAAATTAATGTAGACAATTACTGAGAGAATTATATTTTTGTAGCGTAGTTTACGTGAGATGAATTCACTTGGGATCACGTGATATGAAACGGCGAATCAGGATGTTCTCTACCATGAAAGCATAGTAAATTCTTAAATTAATGTCTTTTTACAAATTTATTGTCTTTATTTATTGGCTTCTTACAATATTTTAAATGATATTAAAATGTTTATGCCTTCAAAATAAAAATTTCTTATAACTAACATTTGTTAAAATTTTTTATGTGTATACTGTGTGTTGTCACCAATAAAGTCTGCTTGGCGAGATTTACGCCTGCGAAACAGAAAAGTACCCCCTTTTCCCTTGTATGAGCCAAATGATGGGGCCAACACACCCAGATCAACTTAAAATAATAGTTACAGTTTATGTTTGTACGTGGTAATTTAATATATAAATATTTTAATAAAAATGGGCCAAAGTTAGCCATAGTTAAATACATTAGTGTGATGGTTGAGACTGATTTTTATCAACAATTTTTTATGTATTTTGTTGAAAGCTAGTTGTTGTACTATTCTTAAGACAAGTTGCAAGTTTTCATCTGTCAGTTTATTTCTTAATTTTAACTTATTTAGATTCACAAGAGAAATTGTTTGTTCGTATATATATGTTACTGTGAAAGACCGAAATTGGAGAATGTCAACATTCACCAAATACGTCGGTGAAAGATCAAATATTGCATTACATTCTTGTACATTCGGACTCTCACCAGTGTATGTCGACAGTCACAGATATGTTCTGGTGTAGGTCCAAAAGAGAGGTCATAAAGTATCATAATAGTTTAAATTGTTATCATAATAGTAAATAAGATTTGAATCACATAATTTAGTAAGTTTTTTATTACTATTATTTTATTTTCTCATTTAGAACGTACTGTATAATTAAGTAAGTTTTTAACTTCTATTATTCTCCTTTCTCATTTTGAATGTACCGTGGATTTTAAGTTCTTATTTTAACTCTTAAGTGCGTTTTTTCGTGACTGAATTACAAAGAAGAAAATATAATATTCCTATATGTTGAACATTCACCATTAGTACATGGTGAATGTCGACATTTACCGGCGTAAGTCAGAAATAAGAGTATTTGGAAAATATTTCGGACATACACCAAGCGACTAGGTGATTTTTGACATTCACCGGTGAAAGTCGACATTTTCCGGATTTCGGTGTTTCACCGTAACATATATATAAGTACTACCAAACATAGTAGCACATCTGCTTGCATTATGTTTTAAGTGCAAAAATTGGGCAGGAGTTTTATAAAAGTCAAAATAAATCTCGGAATCTGGATTTGCATAAGACAGAACTTTGTAAATCAATTAAGTTCCATTTGAACATCTTCTGGAGCTTCTCTGACTACAACAGAAAATGGATCTTAGTAGTTTAAATTTAACGTTATGATGTAAGGTTTATCCTAAGTTTTTAACAATTATTTTAAGTTAAAGCTATTTTCCTGTTCACCCTAATTTCAACTTACAGTTTCCTGCCAGAATGTGTTTTTAGAATCACATTTAATGCAAATGAGTAAATATTAAAGTCAAAGTTCCACCGACTTAGAGAGAGCCTCAGAGTTTCTGACTAGCACACGTTTGCCTTTTAGCTACATTTGTCTAAGCCGTTACCAAGCTCTGCCGTATTACAGGCCCTTGATAGCTTCGCCAGCTAAATCGATATTTAGGGGCCAGCTACTTAGAATTTTGATAGCTTTGGCTATATCTCTTTAGCTAAGCATTAGTTAAGTCTTATTTCTTATTATTTTGATTTCAAGCTCCAGTGGAGGTTTTGCTGTATGCTCCAAGAAAGGGGTCAACTGTTCACTCATATTTTGAGTAATAAAAGGTAATTAACCCTTCTTGAGTTTACATCTCTTTTACCAAACTTAAGCAATTATTTGTTTAGCTGTTCACTAGGTTCTTGTGCATTTAGTTGTTTTAGATAAAAGGATAGAACCTCACAATGCCACTTAAAATCTTTAAATCGCTTTTCAAATGAAATTTCATCATTATTTGATCTGAATAATCTAATTGTTTATGAGGAAAATTTTCATTCTCTTCAGGTAAGGAAAATTGACAAAATTTTAACAGCATAGCTGCTTTGACAACAGCTGGAGTTTTAATTTAAAAGCAGATACTGCATTGGCCAGTTGACTGATGAATTGGTTGTTTCCCATCAATTTTTTGTTTAAGTCATTCAGATGGGCTGTCACATCAACTAAAAATGCGAAGTCACAACTGAAAGATGGTTCCTTTAACATACTAATTTGCTTGCCTTTTTCTTGAGGGAATGGTATTATTTCATCAATTAAATCAGCAAACCGTTTCAAAGCCTCTGAGTAGCTCAACCTCCGTATTTCAGAGTAATATATGAGATCACTATGTGGTGCGTCAGTATTTCCTAAAATTGCCAGAGGTTTAAACAATATGAGCAAATAAAATTGCTTGTATTATAAAATAAATTGCTTGTATTGCCTTCATTAGGCGATCAAATCCTAGTTCTTTCACACACAGCTGTTCTTGGTGTATGATACAGTGATACCCAAGCAAATCTTTGCCTCAATCATCCAAGTGGTTTCTCAGTAGACTTACCATGCAATTCTAAATTTCAGCCATGATTGCACATAATTTTGATTTGTTAATATCAAAATTATGTATCAAAATTATGTGCATAACACAAATTCAAAATGGAGGATAAAATATCAACTCCAGTTGTTTGCCCCTCCATTGAATTCATTCCAACAAGTTGTTCAGTTACTTCAAAATTTTCAAAAATACCTGTAATAAACAAAAGCAGCTGAGCTGCTGAAGTAATGTCTGATGACTCATCAGCTGCTAGAGAAAAGTACTTAAATTTGGCAGCAGTAATCTGTAATTGTTTATTAACATCAACAGATAAATTTTCTATTCTTTGAATTGTTATTTTGTTGAGACTCACATTTTAATATTTCTTCATAGATTCGGGGCATACTTTCTCAGACGGCAACAATATACACTCTTTTTCAAAATCGCTGTCAGTAAATAGGTGTCCACTTTTAGCAATTAAGGCTGTGATTCTCAAACTAACTTCAACACAATTATCTAATTGTGAAGATGCCTTTGTAAATACATTCCTTCGTGCAACGAGAGAATAGCGAAGAGATTCAATTTTATGATTTCGAGCCTTTCCCTCAAGCTTTGTAAATGTTGAATGTTTCATGTTCTAGTGTCACTTAATATTATACTCCTTCCAAGCACTAATTGTAAAATTACATATCAAGCATGCCATTCTATTACCTTGCTGCACAAAAAAGTATGTCATTGTCCAAGCCTCTGAAAATTTCCTATTATAATCTGCTACTTTTCTTTTCGTTTTTGATCCATTCATCATGGCAAGTAACTATTAAAACCACGTGGAACAAAATTTATGTGTCGGTGGTTCCTTATTCAAAATGATATTTTAAAAAAGTTAAATATTCAAAACAAGAAACTTCTTAGTGGTCTCAAAAGAAAATTAAACATACAAGTGATAAAACAATGTATAGTCACAAAGCCAGAAGTGCAACAATGCAAAGCAAATGAATGTAGCACTTCCGATCTGAGCATATATTTTTCTTTCCCTTTGAGTAACACATGTGTGCAAACATACTCATGTTACATTATACTACAGACCCTTCCTCAGTCTGTGTGCCATACAGGCTAGGAGCAGTTTTCGTGTTCAGGCAATGAAACTTGCTTTGGTTGATCCTGGAAACTTGGCTCAGTGCCAAATCTCACTTTGAAAAGAGAGGGTAGAATGGGTAAGGAAGGGAGAAACAGTGAAATTTTTTCTGCTGTCAATCCCTTCTAGAGACAACTCATAAGTCAAAACACAAAAAAATTTTGTAGAGGTCTCAGCGGGTCACGAGTTGACGGCTATCGCAGGTCACAGGTTGTGCATCCATGATGTTATGTTACCCTTTCATAATTGTATGTGCATCATCTACTAACCTTGGAAAGTTGTCCATTGTATAAATTATAAGGTCTTTTAAATTTATCTTACCCATGGCCTCATATTTCAGAATTTTCCTATCTAGTCAAATATTACATCTGCATTTTATCTTTCAAATTAAAAAAATGTATGTAACTGGCTTAACAAACAAGGTATTTTAAAAATAATTGTCATACATCTCAATAGTTTAAATCTTTACTTTATAATATAATAAATACATTAAATTTTTTGCATATATTTAATTAATATTTGTAATGTAAAAAGCAGATAAAGCCCTATTTATATTACTAATATGTGGATGCTCACTAGATTAATTTTGCTATTCTACCTTTACCTCTGAGTGTTGTTTTGTCAAGGATATAATTCAACAAATGTGTTAATAAATTCAAATTTGAAGAATGAAATTTAAACATATATTGTCTATAATTATTTAATGAAATTCTCTCTTTGGCAGAAAAAACTGACTTATTAACTTCATACTTGATCTATATACATCATATTTTTTGCAAGACTAATCTAGGAGAATTAAACAGCACATGGAGTGTTAGGAGGAAGAAAAAGGCTTTGGTAAGGAAAAGGAATAAAATCTTTAAAGAAAAATTTGGATTGTGTATTTTGAAAATTTCATTGCGTAAATTATTGTATCTGTTATTAAACACAATAAATATCTTGTGAATTTTCTGGAATGTCAGAAGTATTCTCTATAAGTTGTTGTAAATAGAATTAAAAAAAAAGTTGGTGTTTATTTTGAATGCAACCACCTTGCCTAAAGTAGGCAATTTTTTTTAGAAAAAAAAATGATAATTTATAATTGCAAAAAAATTTCAATGTACATATAATTAAATATTTATTAGGTATGTAATTTTATTAATATTTACCTTGAAAGTTGATCACTAAGCCAACTTATAAATGAGTTTTTATTTCTTTTATTATAATAGAAATTTTATGGCAATCACTTTAAGTATAGATTCAAAGCAGCTAGTCCCTTTAATAATCAAACATAAAATATTGTATTCCTGTAAAAGTTTTACTATACTTTCTTCTACTGCAGTTTAAAGTCACAATGTTTTAAAATTAAGTTTATAATGCAAAATAAGAAGTTTTATGTATAAAAACCATTGAAACCTGAAATGCATTTCAAAAAAGTATGCAAAAATGTTTTCCTGAAGTTAGAAACATGGTTATCAGAGTTTGCCATATCCTGAAAAATTTCCCAACTTCTACTAAGTGGTTATGCTAATATCTAAGTACCGTAAATTTGTTGTTTTGAAACAATTATTTCACATAAATATTTATGTTATTATTGTAATTTGCTTCTGTGCTAATGCTTTATGTAACTTTTAGGAGATAATAATAGACTTTTGGTGCATTTCAAGTCCTAAAATCAATGGTTTTCTATTGATTGTATTTCTTTCATTGTAGTTACAAGTTGTGCAAGTATATTAATTATTTAAATAGTTTAAAAGAGATTATTCTTCCTCTTTCTTATGGTGTGTGATTGATTTAATGTTTCATTTAATTTAACCCTCTGTGTGGCATAGGTTTTGGATTTTATATGTGAAAAACTAAGTTGTTTGCTGTATTTTTATAATTAGTTATTTTAGTCTCTGTTTTCATAAATTTTCATTTATTAAAATACAGATTGCATAATTGAAGAAATTAACAAAAAATACATATTTTGAAGTAAAATAATATACACCAAATGACAAAAAAAAAAAAAAAAAAAAAAAAAAAAAAAAAAAAAAAAAAAAAAAATTTTTTTCAAGCTTTCATTATATTACACCCAAAGGAGCATTTTTTTAAGGTTTTGTATGCTACCTTTATTTATTAAATATCATGTTCTTCGCACTTAAACCATAAATTTCAGTCCAACAGCAATATCGCACAATATTTAAAAGAGCATATCTATAGAACTTTTAATGCACAATCTTGCATGCTGAAGATAAAAATATTCCCCCCTCCATACAGTGTTGCCATTGCTCGCTTTGAAATCGTTGTTTCTTAATCAGAAACTCATAAATTCTTTACAAAATATAGATTAGATAATAAAACAAATTTCAAATTCAGGCTTCCAAATGTCCATGCTTGGGTGGAGGCATACATTATTCAAAATTTGATAGCTTTAGATACTATTGTTTTAATGCAATGCAAGAAACATGCATACATTTATGCAGATTCTCCATTATTTAATTTTTTTTAATATAATATAGGGTCATAATATTTGGTGGCAACAATTTCAAAAGTGATTCGCAGTTTATTGTGAACCGATGCAAAATGCCAAAACAACCTCATGGCCGAATAAAGGTAGTCATGCCATTCAAGGGTTAATAAAGTTATGCAGCTAATTGTTTTAGGAACTATTAAAATTTTAATATTATTCATGTGCATGCATAGCTTACAAAAAGGGTAATATTTTAAGATTATTTTGGGCTTGTTAAAGATTTTTTACAGTATAGTATCTAGAAAAACATTTAATGCTACTAAATCTGTTACAGGTTGATGCTTTCATAGTGCTAATCTCTACAGCAAAGCACACTATTAATTCCTTAATTTCACTTGCAAAAAAACATTCTGAGTACTCTTATTCTGGAAAATTTTAAACAGTTTTTGCCTCAATTTTATCCGTACAGGTATACAACCAAATTCGTCAATGGGCAATTGTGTCATAATACTTGTACAATTAGTAATATTTTCACTTGAAAAGAAATTGTACAATTAGTTAAAAAAAAATTTTTTTTTAATTCTACCTTTCACTCAGATATAAAGATTTTTTCACCTCAAAATTGAATTTAGATATTTTTAAATTTAATGCTGAAATTATTTTTAAAAACTATTTTTGTGCATACCTTTACTTAATGAACAAACTAAAAATATCATAATTTTATTGTTTGGACCATTAGATAGAACACGGAGAAAAATTATTTGAAATGGAGTTCATACTTAATTTTCAACTTAATTTACTGGCATTTCTTGGTCCATAATTTTGATTCCAACATTTAAAAATGTGTGTCATAAAATTTTCACAGATTATACAATAAATTTTTCATTCTCTTTTAAAACAAAAATCATAAAAATAATAATTAGAAGATTTTCTAGAATGTTTTAAAAATATGCTGCAATATGACATTCAGCTGAAGAGGAAGTTGCTTTTCTTTAGGCATCATGTGATTTCTGTTAAACTTTTTTGAAGATATGACATCATTGTATATGACACCATCCCCCCTGCTTTTACATAATTTTCTCTAGTACTGAGTTTATTTATTTATGTATTTTTTTCATTGCCTCTTGCTAGATATTTTGCAAAGAAATGAGGCTTATTCAGTGGCGGATTGGCCAAAGAAATCGGCCCTGGCAGGAAAAATATGTCAGCCCTAAGGCTCCATATCTAATGTCATTATACATATGAGTTATCATTGTCATCACCATTATCATCATAAAAAGTACTTTTATAAAATAAAAATATACATTTGCAGAAAAGCAACACTTTATTCATATACAGAGAGAAATAAATAACAATGACTAAAAAATTATATAAACAAAACAGCAGTCGATTCATAATTAACCATTTAAATATTTTTTAATTTCTGGCCAAAAGATTTGGCTAAATTTGCTTTAGCCAAAATATCTTGCTCTATGTTCATCAATAGCAATGACTCCAAATTAGCTTGCTTTGTAGTACTCTATATTTTACAATTTTTAATTTTGAAAAAGCTCTTTTGCATTCAACTTGCATTATAGATAAGGTGAGTACAAACTTATAAATAAAAAAGACATTAGCGTATGCATTACTATATAAATTATATTTCAAGAGTTATTTATATACAGACAAGACACAATTTTTTCCAAAATTGCGTATAGCTTTGAATAAATGCTCATTAATAGATAGAGCACTCTTTCCTGACTTGGTATCAGATTCAAAATAAGGATTTTCTATTGAATTTTTTAGTATTTCCTATTTAATTACTAGGTCCTGATATTCATCCTTAAGATTATCAATTGTTACACCTGCATAGTACCCTAATGATATAGATAAATAGTCTAAAGAGTTTAGGGACAATGGCGTCTAAAAGTTTTGGGGATCGAGAAGTGATCTGCCTTAACTTCTTATGCCCTTTAAACCTATGTTCCATCGATGGGGTTATCCATTATAAAACTAAAGACAATAACTTCGAATTGTTTGATAGGGCTATTGAAATTATAGTCGGACAATTCTTCGTCGGCCATTTGTTTCACTTTTCGGCATCTTCTAGCAGGTAGTCCTTCTATAATTATATCAAAACCCAGCCATTCTAATTTTTTTATTGCAACTTGTTGCAAATAATTTTTATGCGTTAAATATTAAATCGAAGTTTCTAGAAATACCTTTTAAAATGCTTGGAGCCTTCCTAACCATATTATATGCTAGGATATAATGTAATCCTTTCATCTGCAAATAATTTGTTACCAGCTTAGTATATTGAAATATTTTCAAATATACGTGAACAGAAAAATTTTTTCGGACAAAAAAGTTGATATTTTGTCCGGAGTAGATTTTGCGATTTGTCGTATCTGTACATTTTGTATATCATTCGAAGATATACTTTTGAGTGAAAGTATTAATTCTATGCACATTCCCTCATGCGCAGGACTGTCTTGCCGAGTCATCTGTGTCGATTCTATCAATTGAGTTTCTTGATCGGCTCGAAATCACTCCGACCCACCACGCATCTGCCCACCAGCCCCATCTGCCACTGGGCTTATTATAGCAATCTTCTACCATTATGTAATTGCTATTTCTTCTCCCCAAAAGGGTAAATTTTACACTTAGAACTCATTTATTTTTCTTTTCCAGTGTTATTTATAAAAACAATAGGGTTTATGGATCGACTGTTATTTAAAATGTCTTACAATTAAATCTACCATGTCATTTTTTATTTTTCCATTTTATAAGTTTATATAATTTTTCTCAGCGTTTTGGTTTAAAAGTATATGCATATATATATTTATTTAAATAACAGCATTCACAGTCTATAACAGAATTGTATTTACATCTGTTACGAAGTTTTGTAAAGAAAGCAGTTGTCCTCTGTTTGCACAGCTAGCCTTTAGTCTGAAATATGTAGCTAGCTAGATTGAATGTTGACTGCTCAAGCAGATAGTGTAGATGAAATAAAAGGCATTTTTATGTAGATTTGGTATTGATATTTAATATTTATATTACCTATTATCAAAAATTCAGTGTTGTAGATAATAATTGCAATTGCAGAAAATAATCGTTAATTCAGGATACAGTCAAAAGTCGTTAATCCGGACTCGTCGGGACTTAGGCGATTCCGGATTGATTTTTCCGGATTATAGATCATCACTTTTAATCTTGTAAGATGGCATGCAGAAATTATAAAATTTAAAATATGAAACTCTAATTTATGAAATAAAGAACAATTATGATCTAAAGGGTATCAAAATTTACAAAAAAAAAAGCTTAATATTTATTTGTTTACTTTAGTAAACATTTCTTTCAATGTAAGTTGTTTAAATTGCTTTGTTTTTTATGTGATAATACATTCTCTTTAATTCTATAAACAGACATAATTTCTTGTTCAGTTACAAAGTTCCGCTGTTCAAGTCCTATAATTGCTGTGTCGAGAATACCGACTAATTTGTCAATCGAAATTTTTTTGTTTTCAATTACCTCTGTGTCACTTTCTTCACTATCGGAAGCGAATTATAATGACGAGGAATTTGATTTAAATCATATCAAAGACGGTGTACATCGAGATGAAATACTACATTTAGAAGGAATTATAAGCCAAATAAAATAAAAACATCTACCCTGAAGATAAGGCTAGTACTGACAGATCAACTTCCAATTCATTGCGCACCGCGGCGTTAAAGATAAAGAAAGTTTAGATAAACAAAGGATATGCCTTTATCCATTTTTTGCAGCAATTCCACATTTTGTTTAATGGACTTCGAAACATACTTTCTCTTTGTAGATCCTTTACATATTAGTAAATATATATCAGAAATTCTATTTGACATAATCGAAAGTTCAAGCTTACTTTTATAAAATTGCTCCAACAGTCTGCCGAATTCAGTTCGAATAATAAGCCGAATCCATTTCGAAGATTAAGGAACAACGCAATCTGCAACATTCACTGAATTAGATAATTTTAGCTTAGCTTATACTTTCCGTTATACATTAAACGCGCATATTTGCAGCTGTAAAGTTCTTACACGTCAAAGCGACACATGCGCAGAAAGTTTGTAGCTTTGAAGTCCGGATTATTGGTGGCTGAATTAACGACTTTTGACTGTAGTACATATGTGAAGAATGATTTTTGGAGTAGCTGTACTTCAGTATTTAATGTTAAAAGCTAAAATTTGAGATATTTCACTCAAAGTACTTATTTAATGCTAATTAACAGCAGCTGTCTGCTGAAAAATAAATTGCTGATATTTGATACATTGTGATTCTATAATTTTAGAACCAACTTCTTTAGACTAACTGCTCAGTCAGATAACTGGGCAATTAGATTCTCTCTCTTTTTCTTCTTGTAGGCCAAAATGCAAAGGAGTTTTTTTAATTATTATTTTTTATACTGTGTTTTATTCTGATAAAGGCTATAAAATTAGAAATAAAATCAAATTAGTTCCATTAAATTCTTCCATAAAAAGTATAAAACGCAGTTAACTTTTAATAGCAGTAGGCAATAAAATTACTTTTTATTTAACTTTGCTTATAGTTCTGTGAAATAAAATAAAATAGTGAAATTAATTTTTTATTTATGTAGTCCTAAAACTAAAGTGCAATTATATTTTTTAATGTGCAAAAAATAAAATAAAATAAATGTTTGCTTTATGTACTCATTTCTCTTCAATTAAAATTAACCCAGATGCTGGCTGTGTTTCTTTAGACTGTTTTTATGAAAGATTTTCATAACAACGATTTATAGACTAAACTAAGAATGGTAAATGTATATATGACATGGTTTATAGCTGTACTTTATGGGTAAAAAATAATGCGAACATCTGCAAAAACAAGTATGTAGCATTTCATATCTGCAGTACAGCCATGCCACTTGCCACAGATATTTATCACATGCTAGTCAAAAAGGGGAATGTATTAGTCTCTTAACAGCTGTCATATGTGTTGCATGCACCCATCCTTTTCTTGGATACATCCTGAAAGATTTTACAAGAGGCATAATTGTTGGAATGCATTTAGTCAGAGGCTGGTTTATAGAAACAGCAAAAAATTTAGGCTGTGCAAAGAATATTGTATCAACGATGACAGTGTACACAAGAGATGATCAGATGTCATCTTCAGAGTGTAATAGTGGACAAAATGACTAAGGACACACAGATGTTGAAAAGCATACTGGTATGAAATCACAAGTAATCTCTGTCCCAGATAATATCCAAAATAAACATTCATCTCCAGAAACCTGTTTCAGTCAAAAGGGAACTCCATGCTGCAAAACTTTATGGCAGAATGACAGTTTGTAAGCTACTGATAAAATCATATATTGCTTTTAAGTGATGTCTATGGTGCATAGCTCACCAAGGCCTGGCTCCACAACAGTGGAACAAGTCATCTGGTCTAATGGATCAGCATTCACCAGATTTCAAACAACTAGGTACATTTATGTCTGGGAATACCCAGAGAAGCTTTTACCCATGTCTGCATTTTGCCAACTGTGAAGTACGGAGATGTCTGCTTATGGGTATGAGGTGTGATATCTTGGCGCTTGTCATGCTCCCTTGTTATTATCTACATCGGAAGATCAAAGCTGATAAATGTAGGAGCGTCCTGGTGAATCATGTTCATCCTTTTGTTCTCATTTTATTTTCTGGCGATTGACTGCATTTTCAAGATGACAGTACTCATATGTGGGCTGTAAGGAGGGTTCAAGCATGGTTTGAAGAGCATGATAATGAAATAGGCTAGCTCTTCTGACTTGAATGTTTGTGAGTATGTTTGGAATCCAAACTTTGTGTTTGAATTCTGCTTTCAGTTATACCAGAATTAGAGACTTCTCTGCAATGGGAATAGCTTATATTCCCTTAAATGTTATGCAAATGCCCCATGTTGCATCTGATGCATACTTCAATCAAAGGGTGGTCTAACCGCCTGTGAATAAAGATTTTCTCTTACTTCACAAGTGCTGCTATTAATTTGGACCTTTTCTGATTGCCTAATGTAATGACATGTTACTGAAACCTACAATTTTTATATGAAATATGGGATATGTTATTGAATTAAATTATATGACTATGTGTGATATGTTGTTATTGGCTTACAGTAAATTATTTTCTGTTGCAAGTTAATAAACATTTCATATACATTCATTTTAATTAAGTGCTCTTAAAAATGTATACTATACTTACTGTTTAGTCTCTCAGATAACTTAAATATACAACATTTTAGTAAATTAATCGTATAGTATACATGGTCTTAAAATAAAAGCAAGCAATACAGGTCATTACATTTTTCTGTTCTTGAGGGGAGTTTTACTGTATTTCAAAATAATAGTTTATTGAAAAGATCCTCATGTATTATAAATGTTTGATGTTTTTTTAAAGTAGATAATCTATAAACAAATTTGTTTCTTTCTGTATCCCTCCCACACAAAAAAGGGAGGAATAGAATATTACTGAGCAGAAAAGTTAAACATATTTCATATCTAGTGATTTTTGTTTATTATTACAATTTAAATTTTATATAACAGAAATTAAGTTTATATATTAATGCAAAATAATATTTAAATTATTGTATCAGTATGTAATGTTCCATAAAGTGTAAAGTAATTATTGAAGGCTGATTTGTTTAAAAATTAGTGCTGAATTTTAAAAAAAAATTTATTCCCTCCCCAGTTTAAAAAAAAATTCTTGATTATTAATTTTATATATATATATATATATATATTATTATATATATTGTGAAATGTAAATCACAAAAATAATTAGTGATTAGGTAGCATGTAAAATTAAATAGCCGAAACTTATATGTGTTGAAAACTCGAGAGTGATTAGAATTTTTAAGAGTATACTTTTTAATAAGAGAATTCAAGAAAGATTGGTAGATAGCATTTGATAGGGTAGGTTGATACATTTTCTGATCGTAGTTTGCTTCATTAGCTGATGAACTAACATGAATCTATTAATACTAAAGCATATCTGGAGTAAAATAGAATAGTATCTGCGACTTGGTATGTGCAATGTTCGTAAATAAATTGTTGTTCGAAACAAAATGGTATTTGGTGGCTAGGTTTGCAGAATGTTACATGTTAAATGGCATTTTTTTAGGCATTCATTTGAATGTATCAGCAACAGAGGTTATTTATTATCTTGTTATGATGTGTCTAATAAAATTATTTCCTGTCACATTAATAGTTCATAGTGCATGTGCTAATTATAAATCTTGGGCGAACTCTATTTAACATTGATTATGTTTTGGATTATGTGTTATCTCGATGATATAGTAGGTATTCAGTTGTTGTTTGCTATATATTTGTGATATTTGCTGTAAATTACTCTTTGGCTCATGGCAGAAATCCTTACTGCAGTGAGTGACAACATCCATCTTTGCTGTGCAATATGCATATGTACTCGCCATAACACTAGGATGCCACTTTGTCAGGATAAAAACTTAACTTTTCACCAAGACTTACTACTTACTTCTCACCTTACTTTGCCCCTTCATTGCCAGTGTCTGGCTTCGGCTCATGTGTGCTTTTTTTAAATGTTAAATAAAGTTTGTGTTAACTGTTGGTTTTATGCCTTTCTGATAACCATCTGATGCAGTCTA